GCTCTGTTCTTTGTTGTCCAGCAGGAACTTGTTCTACAGGTTTATCCTTTTCCATAGATATCACTCTCTGTGGAAAGAAGCCTCCTAGCACAATGGACCATGGAGTGGCATTTCAGAGAAACAAAGAGCTGTGGGTGGGATGCAAGTCAGTGCACATCAGGCTTTATTGTAAGTCATGTTCCAGGTTGGCACTGAGAACATATACTGACAAAATCCTAATTCCACTGCAGTCTCTCCTTGATACAGTTTGCACAAATGAAATGAAGGACTCCATTCCATCTCCTCAGAGAACTTTCATTCTCTAGGCAGAACAGTCACATACCATCTCCATACCTCTGTTCATGGTATATTTCGTCAGGATGTCTTTTCTTTTTCCATATTCACCTCTCCAAATTCACCTTGCCCAGGAAACCCATTTTATATTGTTCTTCCTCCATCCGGGTCTTCCAGTCTCTAAACTGCAGGTTTTGTTGCCATAATACTCTTTTTTATATTGTAGTCACATTGTTTTGCTTTGTTTTGTCAGTAATGACTGTCTTTGGAGTTCCCTAACTAGGCATACAAGGTTCAATCAGATTCATCTTTCTAACCTCTTAGTATTTTAACCTCATAGTATCTCACAAAGTGCTTGCCACATGGTTTAATAGGCATTTCCTGAGTTGGATCCTATTAACATACACACAAGAATTACAGAAGACCCAGTATTATTAATTGCTGATGCTAATCTTAGCATTTGTGGTGCAGTAGACATTCCATTTTATTCTCCTGTTCTTGTCTTATCTGTCTTTATCCTGTTCTTCTAATTATTTGTACACTTATTCTGATCCTAAGCAGGAGTTCTGAAAATTATTGCTTATAAAAGTTGACAAGATGTAGGGATGGGCCTTGAGGCTATAAGAATTCTACAGATCATGGCTCCATTTGGTACAGCATGAGGTAGTATACTCTCTTAAATCAACCAAGAGTCTCAGTAGCAGAGAAAATCTCTGACCATTTTTTTCTTGCCTTGGCATATATAAATCACTGATCATGAAGACATAAAATAGAGTAACTTGAAAAATGCAGGAAGCTGTAAATTACCCCAGAAATGTTTTAATCTCTCACTATCAGTTCTTCCTCGGATCATAATCAAAGTATATCCTGTTTAAAGACTCCCTGGTGAGTTTCCTCAGTAGCACAATGCTTTGTTTCAAACAGATGTCAAGAATGGAGCACATCTCTATGCTTCTATAGCATCTCAAAAGGATTGATTTTACTTAAACATTGCAAGGTTGAGCCTCCAGGAATTCAGGTTATACTTGTGAGTAAAATATCTTAAAAAACCCAGTGCCGTTTCACATGTTGAAATTTTAACACAAATTACTTTGAGAAATCAATCACATGCATGTCTCTGTTAGTACAATTGTTCAAATATCTGAATGGCTTCACACACATATATACACACACTCCTCTCTCTCTCTCTCTCTCTCTCTCTCTCTATATATATATATATATATATATATATATAGATAGTATATGTATAGGTATATACTTGATATAGATAGATAGATATCTAGAGATATAGATATATATCCCTTCATGAGCATGTCCTATGCCAATGTCTTTAGGATAAGCAATGAACATGGATGCGGAAATTCTACAAGCCCAAAACCATCAGGTTCCCTGTTATTACAATGATCCAAGGGTTAATGACTAATCAGTCTGTTGAGAAAGGGACCACTTAGAAGAATATAATATTTACTTACACCAAGAAAGTAAAATTTCCAGAAAATACTCCTCCTAATAATCCTTAAATACATACACACACACATATATATGTACTTTATACATTTGTATGAATGTATTTGTCTACATATATGTATATATGCATAATAATTTTTGACATTCAGACTATTTTCAACAGTTTAATTCCTTACAATCTGTACATGAACTTTACTATAAAATGAATGATCACACATATTATTTTGTGAATGTTTCATAAAATAATTTGGTGCCTTATATCCCATGTGGCTCATATTATTTATAAAAGGAAGAAACATGGGAGACATTTCAAAAAAATCCAAGTTTCAAGGCAAACACACATATACACTTCTATAAACAAAATAGGAGTGAGCCACAATCATACCAAGAATAGGAAATACTATGTGCCCACTGAAGCAAGAAGCCAGGCCCACTTAAGTCTGAATCACTAGTACTGAGTTTAGCACCCAGCCCAGAGGTTGAGTCTAAAAAATATGTATAGGAATATGTAAAAATGAACATCATAAAAGGTAGTGTGGCTTAATGGGAAGATGGGAAATGAGGTGAATTGGTGTAAATCATGCATGATTCCTGAACCTCCTGGCTGCACCATTTGATCAGAAGTTAACTCTATTTTGACACCCAAACACTGTGGACATAACCTCCCACCATGCAACAATGATCTTCAAGATACACATATAACCCACATAGGGAAAGTTATAAAGGCCTTCTTGTATAAATAACAGCTATTTTGAGTTCAAACTCTGTGCAAAATCATGACTATAATTTCTCCTCTAACCACCAAAGAATTTGTGCCAGTGGGTGCAAGCATTTCTGCATTAAAGAAATAACTGTATTTCTACCTGTCCTGTGTCTTCTTTAATTTTCATGCTAATAAGTAGAGGTGGGACTTCCTCTGACCACATTGTCATTCATTTAAAGGCTATCATTTACAGAGTAGGTAAGGCAGCTTTTGAGGTCACATAAGAATATTTGAGTACATCTTCTAGAGAGATCCAAAATCCATGTAAGTTCTTATTATGAATGAGGTTTCTTAGAGAGTTTGTAGGAATTAGTCACTTTTCTTATTCTGAAGCTTTGTATGATCCATAGGCTCCAATCACTGCATACTACAAAGCCTAGAAGACAACAAAGCATTGATGGTGATAGATCTGAATAACATGAAATCACTCTTTCCTACAGTCCTGGGAATGGAAGAGAAAAGGAAACCCAAGAGTATGCAGATCATGCCAGGAATTCCATTTTGGAAGGAGGATACTGTCTTCAAAGCAGCCAATGACTCCCACTTCCCTTTGCTTTGATATACAGCCCATCACCAGCTTCATTAAAACTATCCCCCATCTTTTATAACCTGAAGATCTGATCCCAAATAATTCTGTGGAAATACCACGTCTCTTGGGACAAGTGATAAAATGATGTTTCATCTGTATGTCAACATGAGCAAAAGTGTCCATTGAAAGGGGCTGGACGGAAACACGGTAGAGTCAAACATTATAAATGAACATTCTTTCTCCACTGTCTTCGAAAGAGAAGAAAAGAATTTGTGGCCAGATAAGGAGCCCAAGCCTGAGATACTATAGCATTTTACAGCTTAGGGTCACCAGGAGGGGGACAGAGGGAGGGCAGGATGGAGGAGTTAAGCAAGTGCTAGGCCAAGAATTGACAGGGGAAATGTGTGGTGTTGGTCCTTGGAGGCTGTGGGGTGAGAACAGGGAGAGAGAAAAGGGGAGGCAGCCAGTGAAGGTGTTGGGGCTGCATGAGAATATCAGATTTCTTGCTGGGAACAGTGGATGCGCATGCACAGTGACAGACTCTAAATCAAGAGCAAGTAGGAATTGTAGGAGAGCCCAGAGGGAAGTGCTACCAAGAGTCCTCTTTTTGCAGATGAGACAGGTTAGTTTCGTCCAATGTGTCCTCCCTTGAAATGAAACACATTTGCAAAACTCAGGAGATATAAAACAAATCAGTGAGGAATTCTAAGCTGGGAGTTGATTGGTCAGTAGAATTACAGCTTTGAAGACATAAGAACGGCTGGGGAGGATGGCTTAGGTTGTGAACTTACAACTCAAGAACCGCTATTTATTTAGAAGTTGGTGAAATTTTCCAGAAGGGACCATACAGTGGAGTTGGCTGTGGTGAGCCAGGGCTGTATCCCTCAATCTCTGGGAGTGGGAGAGGCATTCAGAAACGTCCAGGAAAAAGCATTAGTAGGCTACAAATGCGATGGAGGAACCCATCAGAGTCACAGCTTTCACTAAACATAGGAGATGCTGGTATGCCTTTCAGTCTGTTTTTCTCATCTATTTCAGAGAGCTGAGTTGTACCTCCACAAGTCTCCTGCTGTTATTTTGGAGAGAGTAGAGAGCTTTCCTTTTGCCAGTTCCCAGGACTCAGGGAGTCTCCCCTGAACATTTAGAGACAAATCCTAGGATACCTTTACCATTTAATTCAAATGATTTGGCACTTTCCAATGCATGCAGTTCCAAGGAGTCTAGAGGGCTCCATCTCCTCCCTACATCCTGTGTCCCAGGCATAAATTGTTAAGGCATGGGCATGAAATGAATCTGAGGACTGGGGCTGCTATTATGTACTCTAGTGTCTTTGAAAAGACTCATCTCTGACTTACAAAGATTGGTTTTTCCAAGGAATGTGATGATTGTAATGAAAACAAAAATCAAGCCATCAATTGCTGAATGTAACATTATTCTACCTCACATTTCATTTTCACAGCAATCTTGCGATGAAGGGAGAAGTATTCCTTGTCTGTAATATAAAAGGAGGAAAG